GAGCACCTCTAAAATGAGTCACAAACGAGTGTTAAATTTCCACCCAGCATTGCATGCATAATCATCGCAATGACAACTTCCAGTCAGACGAATGGAAGAGAGAGGCTTTAGCAGTCACAAACTACACACAATCAACTCTGTTTTCACTATCCTCCCTACCATGCTATGAACTCGGTGCTCCAAGCCTCGTCGGCACTGAAACTCTTTTCTGATTGGTCAGCATCACCTGCATTTGAGAGGCATCACAAATGCCACAGCAACAATGATTTAAAGTGAAACAAGTTTTTTTTAAAAAAAACATGAATGCTACAAAGTAAGTGCCGCTGGATGCCGTCATTATCAACATCATCGTCAATCCAATCGAATTACCAAGAAACAGTGAAAATGAAGAAGATGACGTTGCAACAGAACTCGCCAAAGCGTCGTCGAATGCCACCCCTATGCGTGATGTAGAGGCAAATCTTCCCAGTCTCCAAAATGGCGTCTGAAATATCGTTGAGGAAGAAGATGATACAGCCGTGTTTTATGTATCTAAAAAAGGAAAATAAGATGAACAAAAAAAGGTTGAACAACTCCTCACTTCGCACTGAGATGGTGCGTATCATAATGCGGAGTATTTAAGTAGTATCGTGCATAAGACAGATTTGATTATTTTTGGGGACAGTGAGTGACTTCTCGCCTTCACTGCACAAACACAATTTGTACAAGGGGGGAAAAAACCGTTCAAACCCAGAAAATGTGAAGCAGAACGGTGGTATCACCATCGCCCACTTTTTCTGCCCTCACCGTAACACCGCATCAAAGCATTAAAGTGGTAACGCACGACTCATCACATTGTCTGTTTTGCTCAAAGTTGGTTTTAAGGCTGCGCATTTTGTCCGCCTCGCAAGGTTACACACCAGTGCTTCCACATGAGACAATAAAAGACGCGCACACTTCTTCCGCCTCGTCTAATTTGTGGCACCTTCTTGTCAGCCTAATCGGTGGGTGCCTCCCTGAAGCGCCTTCAGGAGGTTTGCCCTTAAGGTGTTTGAAAAGGTGACCAGTTTAGTGGGCGGAAAACCGATTGAAGGGAGGCACAACCTTCGAGAATCCTTACACTAGCTCGCCTGTTGGACGTTGATGTGCCACAGACTCAAAAAAGGGGATAAAAATTGTCCGAAGGGTGCACAGTACAGCAAGGGACAAGTGGAGCGAGGTGGACAGACCACCGTCGGTGTGTGGATGGAGGAAACAAACAATGCGACGTATCAACTGCATCATCATGAGGCCTCTTTTTCACCTCCTTTCAAGCTGTTGTCTGGACAAAACTTTAACCCTCACAAAATAATGGTAGTCTTTGGTTGGGCAACGAGGTGTTAGACAGGTGACAAGAGGAGTGACATACCGTCCCATGTAGGAGAAGTACATCAGTGCCAGAGTGACAAAGTGATGCCACAGCATCAGAGTGGAATCCTTCCGCCTCTTGTCCATGTACAACTCCAGGTAGACACCAGAGAGGTAGTAACTGAACTGAATCAAGTAGAGGCTAAGAAGATCTGATGGAATGGGTTGAGTGAAGTAATTGTCTACAAGGAAACAAAACCATTAAAAGTCTCAACAACGCCATTAGGGCTTTGAACGTTGAATTGCCTGCAAGTCAGCTCAAAGGCGAAGGCACAGTGCAGAGGTCATGACAATCACAAATCCCCCTCTGTCACTGACGTCTAAAATCGTCAAGACTGAGTGGAAGGAAGCATTCGATTCTACTCTGTCACTCCTCCATTGCTGCAAAAGAAAATCTTCACATCACATCTTTTTCTCAACTCCTGCAATCCCCTTCAGTTGGTGACACTCTGTGATGGGGTGGATCGGGGAATCCGCATGTGATGTGCTGCTGCAAGTCTGCTGCATTCCCCTGTCTATACATCCAACGGATTACACACAACTCGATTGCAAGTGTCGGTGTTCAGGAATGACTGACTTGATACTAACCAGTAGTTTCGCGGTCCAAAAGTAACGCGGTTCTCTTGAAAGCCATCTTTCATTTAACAAAGGAAAAAAGACAGCAATGAAACAGTAGAGAGGGTAGAGATTTTGTTACCCTTCAAGTGTCCACCCCAACCGCCTTTACCATTTGGTAATAGCAACTGGCAAGATGAGAGTTGTAAATACTACTGAATTATTATAGTAGCACTGAACTGTGTTGATATTTAGAATTTTAAAAAATGCCTTTTAGCATACTTCCCTCTCACACGTTGATTTGCATGCTTAAACAACCTCCAGATCGGTTACTCATCCCTGTCAGAATAAGGCAGCAAGCCGTGTAATCGAGGAGAATTATTGTTGAAACTGTCAGGAGCAGGCAAACGTACACACAACCCCCATTCCAGTAGACATGTTGTTTGCTCCCGCCGCATGGATACCACCACTTTTGGTCCACTTGAAACCCCTCGAAAACTTATGCACAAAAAAGGGTTCTCGTGCAAACATACTCATCTTCATTTAACAAAAGTTCGCATTGTCACACGGTGTTCTCTACACACACACCCACACACACACACACACACGCCCCCACTGTTAAAACATCAGCGTGATTGACAGCGCTTTGGAGTTCGTCAAATCGGCATAACATTGAACCCAGACAATGTGGATGAGCTAACACCCTCCCACCTCGTGGTGTTCGCATTTTACCTCTGGCGAGTGTCTTTTATTTTATCGAAAGCCGTCAATTTGACCACCTTTGACGATTAATCAACCCTTTAGGCCTTTACAGCCTATTAACGCCAATTTGCCCCATTTTCTTTAGTCTACTCACGCAGAGTGTCGGTTCATTGTCAGTGGCAGTGAATGAAAAAAAATAATAAAATGATTTCCTCGCCCTCAACCCTGTCAAGTGGGGATTGTGAGAGTCGCTTGACAAAGCTCTGCTGATCATAAAATTTGCCGTAGACAAAAAAAAAATACGCCGCCTGGTGCCAGGAGCGCTAACAACTGAGTAATCCGACAAGACTGAAAAAAAAAATGGAAGTAAATTATAGAAAGAAGGTCAAAAGGGAGTGGAAATTTCGTCACTTCTATCAATGCAAATCACTGACCAGCATCAGTGAATCGGTGAGCGCTAAGCAGACC